CCCCAAAACCCCAAAACCCCAAAACCCCATAGTAAAACAATCGTTAAAATCAAGTAGAATTTTTAAACTTATATTAATTAAATGCTATCTCAAATATTCTATAATTATAGTTTTAATTATGTGCAAAGCCAACTTTTATTAGTTGTCTAATATATAATCTATTTTTAAAATTAGCTCCTAGAGTAAAATCAAAATCTCATTTCTTAACTAGCAAAGATTTTACTCTAATCAAAATTAAAGACCTAATCTAAATTATCATTTTCATTATATTAATCAATCTTTAATGTCTTAGAATGCTTTAATTCAGGTTTAATTCTTATTACCTTTTTCAAAGTTTAAATATAACATTTTTGATTATCTCTTTTTCCCTTCATTCGAGGAAATTAATTAGAATTCTGATTAAGCTTATCAATAACACCAATCGATTATAGCGAAAATACGTCCTCACTATGATTATTTCTCTAGAATTAACTTTACGGTTTTTCATAATCAATGATCAGATCATTCATAGTACTCTCATTATTGAGATAAGTAGTATTCTGGTCAATCTATGTTTATATCTCATTCTAAATGGGAACTGTTTTTTTCTTTAATAACTTCATTATATAACCTTTTATCTTTTTAAAAGCATTAAATAGATTTTACTTTAATTAGATAGCCATTTAAAACAAAGCAACAGCAAGATTTACAATGAATAATAACCCTAAAATACCATTTAATACCCAGCCCATATTTATTTATATAGCTGGATTATCATTCAACTCAGTAAAGCTATACATCAAGTAATTGACTAAAACAAAGCTAGATTCACTAAATAATTCCATATAGTTCATAAATTTTGTTTACAATGGCTATATTTTAATCAAATATGTTATGATAGCAAGTGAAGTGAATATTTATATCAATAGCTATAAATGAACTGAGTCCTTGCCGAATACCATTATTACAATGAAAATAAATCTTCTGATAAAATAGATTGAAGGCATAATCAGAGACCAGTTTTTTTCTATCTCTATATTTACAAACAAACTATCATATTGCTATCTGAATATGCTTGACTTTTTAATGTTCTCTCTATTTTTACTCAAAGATATATAAATGCCAAACGGTAAAACAAAAGCATTTACAAATATAAGTACTCCTAATGTGAAAATTATTTAGCTAAAACTATCATCAATGCTAAAGTTTTCAAATAGTATAGATATTGATATCAGATACACTAAGTAAGACTGGATGAGTCCTCTAATCAAAGAATTGAAAAATATATTTCTCCTAATATTAGCTTAGAAATCATTTAATCTCCTGCATCTCTGAGTAAATATATTAAGAATGTAAAAGCCACCATAAGCAGCAAGAAATCCAAGATATATTGCAAGTATCCCAATAACATTTTTTATCACATTCAATCCATCATACCCACTCTCTTCAAAGCCAGTTTCAATTACAGATATTTCTGGAGTATCTATGTTCAACTATTCTTAAGCATTCGATACTAATCCCTCAGTAGGCAATACATTTAAATTGACTAGTTCTTTTATGCAAGATAGAAATATTGCTGTGTTTTGGGGATACTTCACCTTAAGTCTATCCATATGTATGATTAGCTAGAAAATATTGACAAGATCCCAGACTTGCTGCATTGAAATTCCTGTCATTATTTGCAGTGCGAGATTTGATGCTACAATTGTATTTATCGTTGACTTTGCTATATCTGCAACAGTCTACAGCTGCTACATCTCAACTATATAGAATGCTAGAGAATTAATGCTGCTTACGAGAATTAGAATATTGTCTTGGTATTTTGGTTTTCAATGTTACCCCTTTTTAGAGCAAATACTTTCCATCTTTGGATTAAAAATATGCATTAGTTATGAACTTCAAATTTAGATCATCTAGCGCCTAATTTAAAGTAATATAGTTTAAAAATATTACAGATTGAAAGGAAACTAGGCTGTAATCTGAAAAATTAAGCTTAATCTATAAGAGATTTTATTTGAATGTTGAAACTACCCAACCTGCTAGTAATTCACCTCTACCATTGTTACTAGTATACTAAATTTAAATTACTTAACTATTGATTGTTTGCTAGTAATTTTGAGGGATATTCATCTCTTTAGAAAACTTTATCTATAAGATACCTGTTTTAGTAATCTATTAGATTTTAGCTTAGATTGCTTTATCTTTAGTGATGTAGCTTTACCCTTCATTTTAAGTTTAATTTACTTCTGAAATATTATAGTTCATTAATGGGGCAAGTTTATCTATAACAGTCACTCTGATTTCAGAATACTCTACTTATAGAATGCAGTCTAATTGATTTTTCGTGTATTCAATCCTGATTTTCATATTTCCAACATCTTCAGATTTCATAGGATTTATATTAAAGCTATTATCCTGATTAATTTTGACTATACTTGTCAAAACTTTATCATTATCACTCTTTAAAACATATTCACAAGCTGGATTGATAATCTATGTATATTTTTGATCTAATTATAGTAACAAAGACTTAGGCGGGGTGCTATCATTTATGACTTCTTTAATATTGGAATCAATGTATTAATTTAACACAGTCTATTTAACCTAAGTTTACAAAAAGTTGGTTGCTAAGGCATTCTTTGGTAAGTTTGATAGTAATGATGTAATCGTAATATCAGCAACCATTTAAAGCTGAAAAGATAGTGTATGTTAAACTTGGTAACCTAAAGTGGTTTTCAAAGTTCCTGTTAAATCTACCTTGTAAATTCCTGAATCTTTATTGTCAATACTAAATACCTTCAATTACATATTTATAGAATTGTAAACTATAAAGCTAGGTAATAAGGCTAATCCCTCTAATTTTAGACTGTAGCTAATAATCTCTGTGCATTATACTGGTGATCTGATGAACTTTTCATACTAAATAATCATATCTCCTGTCTTATTTATTTGATATAGCACAACAGATGGTAATTATTAGCTGTGTACTAATGTTTAGGCACCGCAAGGATCTGATGTTATTACTATTTTAAAACTGTACTGAGGTAATATTTCAACTCCTGTACTGTAAAGCATTCTAAGCTTAATATCATAGATTCCTTCTTGAATCGCTAATGTCTAAATGGTTAATCTAAATCTACTCTTATCGAAAACTTGACTTTAAAAATGATTAAACTCTAAATCTGTGATTGAATCCCAGAGGTCATAGCTGAAATCCGCCAATAAAGGGCAACCTGAACTAAAATAGAAATACTGTCCGATATCAATAATGAATGTTGAGCCAGCTTACCCTACATATTCTGAAGGTAAGTTAGAATTTAGTTATAGTGTAAATGGATCGTTAGTCTTGCATAAAGAAGTAGTAACTTGGTTCAAGTTGACTTGGATTTTTGTAATTGGATTAGTTGCATAGTATATCAATAACCCTGATGATTCTGATGTAGTAGTGTATTTTGTTAGAGATTAAGCATTTAGATTAATAGTTTAAGTTTGACTTGAATCAGTAAATTTAAAACTATAGCAACTAATGGTATCATCGTTTGACTAAAAAAAGCCTAAAGTCTTTGTACCACTACTTAACAAATTTCCAGCTGTTATAAATATTCCTGAAGACTAAAATAAAGCTATTACAGGATTAACTTAAGTTCCAGAAAATGTTTACACCTAGTTTGCTCATATTGAGTTTGCTGTTAATGGCCCTGAAATTACAGCATACCAAAGTATATTTACTCCACTTTTGAATTCAGTGTAGAGCATGAATATATCTGTCAAGAAATAAATACCCACACAATCAAATACTGATCCAGTCTGAGTAACTGTTCTAATATTCTCATGCTCTGAGTCAAAATCATATGCAATAAATCCAAAATATGAACCTGGGGATTGCAATGCTAGACAACCAACCGCAGTTTATCCTTAAACATTTAGTAACTTTATATCAAGCTTTTTTTAAGAGCCTGTAATCTTCCATACCACTAATTTTATATTTTAGCCAGTCAAAGCATTTTTTTTGAAAATAAATAAATAGTCATTTATTGAAGCGTACATTTCATGCCCAGCTACATAAAGCAAATCATTGACAGAATCGTAGGAGAATGATCTTGGATTTGAGTTTAGAGCTGAGTTTGTGCTCCAGTTAATGTCTCTTGGATTCAAGCTATAAGAAATAATTTTGTAACTACAGCCCTAGATAAGATCCCATCCACATAATCCAACAATTGGTTGATTTCTCTTGTCAATTATTAACGTGTTAAAATAAATAAGATCAGATTATCCGTAATTAACTTGCCAAGACTGGACAACATTACCCGAGTTTACTTCAATTCTAAGTAATTTGTAATTGATTTTTGTAGCAGCATAAAAGTACAACTAATCATTATCAAATTTAATAGCTACGACACGATCCATTGTTGTACCTTAGTAATAGTAAAGCCAAGAAACTTGCTTGTTCACGTAATTATAAAATCCTAAAAGTGGTTTATTGATATTTTCTGAATCGTAGTAACCTAATCCTCCGAAAGCAATATTACTATTAGAATCTATATCAAAGGCTTCTATTCAGGTATTAGCAGTTACTCCATCTCCAACAAAAATGGGGAATTACTAACCAGTACATGGTTAATTATGACTATAGAGATTATTGGCTTGTAAATTTACATTTCTATGTATTTTAGTTTAAAAAATATCAAGAGATGCAAGAGGAGATATTATTTTTTAGGTTTTAAATTCATTAAGGATTACTATAATAATATAAGAAACTTATTGAAAAATTATTAATCATGTCATTATTTAATCATACCTGTTTCTTATTGATTATTAGACTAATGGGGTTTTGGGGTTTTGGGG